TCCCTCAGAGGGGCGGCAGTCGCTTTGGGGTTTATATAAGGCTTAGGGGTTTAGGGATTAGGGTTTAGGGGTTTAGGGTTTCGGGGTTTTGGGGTTTAGGGTTTTTAGGGTTTAGGGTCCAGGTTTTAGGGCCCCAAGTCGTTAGAGATCAGGATAGGCCAGCCCTGAAGCAGTCACCCTAAACCCCAAATCCTAAACCCTAAACCCTATAAGTACAGTTATAATTGGTTAATAGGTACCATGAACCTCCAAGTAGCCCTATTGAGGCCACCCTGGTGGCCTTGGCGCGCTGGCGGCAAGAAGTCGTAGCTTCTCCAGGCTTCAGGACTCAGGACTCAGAGACCTCATGGCCCCAAAACCCGGACCCTGAACCCCGCCTAGGCACCCCCTCAATCCCAAATAATTTCGCAAGCCCAACGCCCTAAAGCCCTAGTCCCCACCTGCTGAAGCCCTGAATCTGTCTAAGAACACTCCAGCAAAAGGCGCAAATGGCCCAAACCCCACAGCCCCCATGTAGCGTAAGCCCCTGAACTTAACCATCCGAGGCCCTTTGAGCCCAGCAACACCCTTTGACCTCAAAAACCCTGCCGAGGCAGTGGTCGTCACTCTCCGCAAGCCCGCCGCCATCCCGAAGTTGCCCGGCTGAGGGCGTTTTAGGGTTTCGGGTTTAGGGTTTAGGAACCCTAAACCTTTTCGGCAAAGGTTTTTGACGTGTTGGGGCTTGAGTTTTGCTCGGGCAGCCAGGGTGTCGGGGTTGACTTCTGCAATTCTGGATGTTGAAGTTGATTTCCTCTTCCCTGAACCCTAAGCCCTACACCCTGAACCCTGAACCGTGAGTTCTTTCATGTTGGAAGACTTGAATGCCAGGTCTGCCACCGAAGCAGTCCGGGGAGACAAGAGCCTGGAGCAAGTGAGCTTTCAAGCCGTCTGCAACTTCGAGGTGGAAGGGGAGGCGGTAAGTCAGCGGCACAAGCGAGCACCTTAGGAACCCCACTGTGACTCACTGTGGAGAAGCTGCTCGCGCTTTCCCCTGCTTTGAGAAACGAGCGGTCCGACGCCTTTGAGACAACGAGGCCGGAAGGCTTGAAGCACCAAGGCGGTGGCTTCCATGGTGCCCTCTGCCCCACGAACTCTTTTCACTGCCTTGCGCTTGCTTCTTCGGCGGCGAGCGAGCTCCCTGGCGCCATGGCCACGGTGGAAGGACCCCTGCTCGAACTGGCCGCAACAACGGAGGCAATTGCGAGGCTGCAGGCGCCTCAGCGCACATGGATTGCAGAGATGTAGCTGAAGGTTCGCTGGCGCTGGCGAACCCAGTCGCTGGCAGTTCGTGCCCTTTGCAAGGAACATCCTTGCCTCCTGATAGCTCGGGCTGGAAACCGCGCGATGCGCGGTGGCTGCAAAAGTGTGCTGCGTGCATCCTGCACCTTTTAATGAAGCTCCTGCTCCCTACGCCCTACCCTTCATCTGGCTTCGGCTTCTGTGCTCCCTAAGCGCCCAAAACATCCCAAAACCTGTCATAGGGTTACTGTGTGGAGGACATGTTTGGAGGTAAAGAGGGGTACCTCTATTACAGGAACCCCCCCCCCGTCTTTTGTGTGTGATTCTGTATGTTTCTGCCCCCTAAACCCTAAGCCCTAAACCCTAAACCCTCAACCCTAAACCCTAAACCCCCAAAACAGCGACCCCGCTTGGGGGGTTTCGGCCCCAGCAAGGCCGAGACTTCTCTTCGTCGGCTTGGGCTCCTCGGCGCTGCTGGACAGCGAACCCCCGAGGGTTAGGGCTTAGGGTTTAGGGTTTAGGGTTTAGGGTTTAGGGTTTAGGGCTAGGGCTTAGGGCTTAGGGCTTAGGGCTTAGGGCTTAGGGCTTAGGGTTTAGGGTTTAGGGTTTAGGGTTTAGGGTTTAGGGTGCGCAGTTCTCTGAGTTAAGGATCCTTTGGGGGTGCCGCCTCTTTAAGGGGGGGAGGTCTGTGTTCTGACAAGGACCCCCCAAAAGGCACCCTTATAGAGGAAGGCTGCATAATGACAGGGACCCCTAAGGAAACGGATCCCTAATTCAGAGAACTGACCGTCGCTGAACCCCACCATGAAAGCTCCGAGACGCTGTAAAGGCTGCTTGTGTCTGCAGGTGACTCCAGTGCAGCTCTTTGATGGGCCGAAGCGCAAGGCGCGCTCTGACAGTCATTAAAAGGTTTGCAGGGTTTATTGGGTTTAGGGTTTAGGGTTTACACAGGGTTTAGGGTGCCAGTGCTTATAGGGCTCATGGGCCAGAAGGGATTATTGGGTGTGGGGTGTGGTAGCAGCAACTCTCCGTCTCTTCAGTCAAAGCTCTCCCACGGGGGGCAACTTGGGAGGCAGGCGACTCCGAGCAAGAGCTCCTGCTGCCGCCCTTCGTCGCTTACGAGTTTGAGGACAGCTGCATAGGGTTCAGGGCTTGAATGGCTGAGGGTTGAGTTGTTCTTGTTCGGCTCACCTCTCTTCAACCCGCTTCTACGCATGCCAGGAGGAGTACTCGGTTGATACAGACATGGACCTGCCAGAAAAGCCAGTACCTCAGCATCTCCGCACTTCTGCACTCCGCGAGGCATCTTCCTCACCCAGCACTAGCTCGTGTAGCTACTCGCACTTATGGTTCCAGCATGATGATCATTATTATCAGTATTTTTATTGTTATTGCTACTACGGTTATTTTATTATCATTATAAGCCTAAGCCCTATACACGGTGGGGCTGCCAATCTCTGTAGGCAGATGCGCATCGGCGAGCTCGAAGAGAACTGGGGCGTCCGCCTTCCCGAGTGCCTGGGCACCACAACTCCGAGAATTAAGATGTAGCAACTGGATGGTATTTTTTAGACATGTCTAACAAATAGTAACTAGTACTCCGAGGCTTAAGATGTAGGTGCTGCCAAGCGGGAGCACAAACAGCTGACCTGCCGTACGCCCGAAGTTTGAAAGACGCAAAGCCCTAAACCCTAAAACCGGAACCCTCCAAACCCCCAAGTCTTATAAGCCCTCAACCCTACACCCTCAACCCTGTAGAAGCCCTAAATCGAAACCGTAGACCCCAAACCCCAAACCCGAAACCCCAAACCCTAAACCCTAAACCCCAAACCCCAAACCCCAAACCCCAAACCCTAAACCCTAAACCCTAAACCCCAAACCCTAAACCCTAAACCCTCTTCATCCCTAAGCTGCCCTTGAGAGTCGGAGCCAATGGAGCTCTGCATCGTCCCCAGGCACCTCACGCACTTCGTCTACGGCCTCCTCCCGCACCTGAACAACTCGCAGGCTTCGGGTCTGGGGTTTATTTAGGGTTTAGGGTCTGGGGTTTGGGGTGTCGGGTTTAGGGTTTAGGGTTTGGGGTTTGGGGTTTGGGGTTTGGGGTTTAGGGTTTAGGGTTTGGGGTTTGGGGTTTAGGGTTTGGGGTTTAGGGTTTTGGTTTGGGGTTTAGGTTGAGGGTTTCATGTTTTGGGTTTGGGGTGTGTGAATTAGGGTTTAGGTTTGGGGGTTTAGGGCTTGGGGGGCTGTAGAAATGTATGTCTTTTGGGGATTTGGAGATTGTAGGGGTTTAGAGATTTTTCGAGGGTTTGGGACGTAGGGAGGTTTGGGTTTGGGGCGCTGAGGCCCTCCACTTGGGGTTGGAGTTGCTCTTGAACACTATGAACCCTTTTTGCAAATGGGGCCTAAATCCTGAACCCTGAAAAAACCCTAACTAAACCCTAAAGGCCCTAATCCCTGAAACCTAAACCCTAAAGGCCCTGAACCCTAAACCCGAAACCCTAAACCCTGGCCACGAAGCCCCACCTTCAAACCCTGAAGGTTTCCTCTCCCGCTGGCGGCTTCCGAGTGTCCGGCGCCGAGATGGATGGGCTGGGATTCCGCAGTCTCGGAGTCTTGGGGTTTAGGGTTTGGGAATTCGGGTTTGGGGTTTAGGGTTTGGGGTTTCGGGTTCAGGGTTTTAGGGTTTCGGGGTTCAGGGTTTTAGGGTTTTGGGGTTCAGATCATCTCTCAGGGCCTTTTTCGGGGGCTTTTAGGTGTTTAGGGTTCTGAGTCGTGGCCTTGGGGGGGGTTTATGGCTCAGCGCCCTCTCGGGATCATGTTCTTGCCCATGGAGTCTTCTATTCCAAGCACCCCGGAAAGGGATGATGGCGTAGAATGAGAACCCCCACCCCCCAACCCTAAACCCCAAACCCTAAACCCCAAACCCTAAACCCCAAACCCCCCAATATTTCTGAGAAGTTCAGGTCACTTCGTTTCCTTCGCCGAGCTGAGCCGGCAAAAGCCGTGGCACAGCTGCTTCAGGACGAGGGTTCAGGGTTTAGGGTTTAGGGTTTAGGGGTTTAGGGTTTAGGGGTTGAGGGGTTTAGGGGGCCTATCGGGCTCATGGATCCTGATTGTCAAGGGGCGCCTGGCGACACACAGGCCGGTTAGGCGAAAGGAACTCTGAGGCAACGATGCAGCCCCTGAAAGCCAAAATGAACCCGAAGATTGGGGTGATAGAACCGGTAATAGACCCGATTCGACTACGACAATTCCCCATACTACTAGAATTCCTCTCAAGGAATTGCCCCCAAAACCCTGTTCCTAGTTGTTAAGGCTCCTATATGACCCTGTGGAGTTCAGACGCCCATGATGCTGAGACCAGGACCCAGCGCAGTTCCTCTACCGGTGGCGCGGGGAGGAAGCAGAAAAAGCACGCGGAATTCTGCTTCCAAGATCAGGTTGCGCAATGTTGCGCACTTGCTGAACTGAGGGGACAGCCCTCCTTTCCTCAGGCCCATACCCTCGAGGCTAGAAGAATCGACCATGTAACTCACAAGTCTTACAGTCAGAAGTTTTAATCAGATAGCTTGGAGTGCCGTGAAGAGACCAACTTGGACATCCGCAGAGACTTCTCAGAGCCGCTTCACTGCGCGCATACTCGCCCCACCCTTTTCAGCTCCCCCCCTGCCCCCCCCCGCCCCCACCCGACAGCGCGTCGTCAATCTTCATCGCGAGCTCAGGCCATGAACAAGACGCTGAAGCAGGCACGTGCATGGAGGGTCAGAGCCTAAACCATGAACTTCCAAAGCTCTTCAATGGGTTTAGGTTAGTCGAACTGCGCAAGCAGGTGCCCCAAAAGGGGTCTTCCAATTCCCCCACTTTTCAGGGTTCTTCCCCAAATCCATATTCTGGCTATTTCGGGCGTAGGACCGTAAACTCGCAGGGCCATCCTGATCTTCGGCGACAATCCTCAAACACCCCAGAACCCTTAAAACCCCTGCTGCCCTGAGCCCTAGTGCCTTGGTAGCCCAGTGATACCCTTTACCTTTTTTTTTTGTGTACGGTTTCCCCTGTAAAACAACCAACCCCAAAAAGGGTGCCCTTATCATAATCTGGTTACTGGGCTACCATGGTGCACACCCTCAGCCCTACACCCGAAGCCGTAAATTTTGCAAGGGGCCCCCGACATCAGGGTTCATCCTTAGGGACATTTAGGGACCACATGAACCCTAAACGGGTTTATGGCTCACATGCCTTCATGGGAATGGTCGTAGTATAGGGCCTAGGACGCAACTTTCAGGGTTCCTTTGCTCCCCGGGGTTCGGGGTTTAGGGTTTAGGGTTTAGGTTTAGGGTTTAGGGTTTGGGGTTCACTTCGTCCCCGGGGATGGGGGGGCCTGGAGGTGGAGGTGGAGTTCTACGACACGCTGCTGCGCCAGCGCGGGCCCAGCCGCCGCGCAGTTTTCCGAGCTCGGAATCCTATCCGTAAGCCTAAACTACTATTTGCTTAAGAACCCCCCACCCGAAAATGCATAATAGCAATAATAAGAATACTAATAATAATAATAATAATCCCTCATTACCGTTACAAGGAAGTTTTTTTTTTTTTTTTTTGGGGGGGGGGGGGGGGGGGGGGGCGGGAGGGGTTCTTAAGTAGGCAGTAGTACAAAGCCCTGCCATAAGAACACCGGCGCCTGATTGCTTTATGAAGAGAAGAATCTTGCCAAGGGGCTTTGTTGCAATAGCCGCCTTCAGGCAAACTCACCAGCTCGCCAAACAAAACAAAGCCCCAAACCCCAAACCCCAAGCCCCAAAAACTCCAAGCCCACAACCCCAAGCCCCAACCCCAAGCCCTAAAACCCCAAGCCCTCAAACCCCGAGCCCTAAAACCCCGAGCCCTAAACCCGAACAATCCCAAGAATCAAGAGATTCGCCTCGGGCTTCGGCCAGGCTCCAGCGGAAGCAAGAGAACTCCAAGCGCCCAGCTCAGCTCTCTTCTAAACATGGGCTCTCGCAACCCAAAACCCTTCTACAAACTCCTAAAGCCTCAACCCTAAACCCTAAACCTTATAAGCCCCTAACCCCTAAGCCACACCATGCACCTCTAAGGGGAACCCGAATTTGCGCCGCCGAGGTGCCATGACTGTGCCCTGAAGCACCAGCACTACGAGCAGCTGGGTGCACGAAGGTCTCTGGCAGCAGACATCGAGGCAGGGCCAGGGGAGCGGAGTATTAGGTTTCTGTAGCCTCCCTAGGGGGTGTCATCTTGTTTTTTTTGTTAATGTTTATATAAAGCCCAAAGGGATGTATAAACACACGACGCTACCCTATTTTTGTTTGGCTTCGGGGGAGTATGGGTTTGGGGGTTTATCCTACGTTTCGGGTTTCGGTGCCTTCAAAGATTCAACCCTACTTGCTAAAAGAGCTAAGGCGCCTAAGCCCGAAACACTCTACAAATTCCTACGGCCGCACCGTTTCTGATGCCTCATTTTATCCGCCACGCTCCCGTCTCGTATCTCTGTAGTTTAGGAGCCAAAGGTGCCAATATCATCCACGAAGATTCCCAATCATATTCAATCATTAGGATAAGACATCCCGACAGGGCCCCCAAGCCATGCGGCCTCAACCAGGTAACATCAAAAGCCCCCTGTGGAGGGTTGAATTGTGGGTAGATCACCCCCCCCCACGTGGTAAGTCCCATTAACCCAGCAACCCGCCTCTGCGACACCGACCCCAAAACCCCGCGGAGCCGACCTAAGCCCCACCTTGTAAGAGGAAGTAGAGCCAAGATTTGGGGGATGTCTTCCTTGAACCCCCTCAAGCCCTAAACCCCCTAGAACTTGAGCCCCCCAAACGCTGCCCCTAACAAGCCGAAAACGCCTAAATGCCTACTCCCCAAACCCCAAGAAGCCAAACAGCCTGCGCCCTAAAAAGCCTAAAAGCCCACTCCCGAAAACCTAAGCCCTAAACCCTAAACCCCCCTACCCTAAACCCACAACCCGAAACCTGTAACCCCTCACCCTGAACCCCAAAACCCCAAACCCTAAACCCCCCAAAACCCTGGCCCTAAAAGCCCCCCCCGAGGACCTGGACCGCGAGCTGGGGGCCGAATCCCTGGGACTCCTGCCGCAGCTAAGGGCCAAGGAGCAGGCGGGTGTGGGGTTGAAGGTTGAGGGTTGAGGGTGTTTAGGGTTTAGGGTTTATGTGGGACTCTCTTTACCTTCAGTTGAATGGGTTATGCCTGCGAATTAATTGGTAGGTACTACCAAACTGCAGGTACAAGAGTCCCAGATAGGGTTGAGGGCTTCGGGTTTGGGTTTCGCAGTTGAGAGTTGAGGGTGTGGGGTTTGGGGTTATTCGGGGCTGAGGGTTTGGGGCACGGGGGTTGAGGGTTGAGGTTTTAGGTGGTTTTGGGCCTCGGCCAGCTCAGGGCCAAGGCGCAGGCGCCCAAAACGAAGCTCGGAAGTTTTTTTTTTTTTTTTCTGTCTGGCGGCTGGTTTAAGGGTTTTGGGGTTTAGGGTTTCGCTGGTTTAAGGGTTTAGGGGTTTAGGGTTTAGCGGTTCAGGAGTTTGGACGTTTAGGCGCTGTATCTTTTGAGTTGCTCAACTCAGTGGCCTTCGAAGACAAGACCCGGTTTAGGGTTTAGGGTTTAGGGTTCAGGGTTTAGGGTTTAGGGTTTAGGGAACCAATGTCTCCACCTGGGGGAGACTTTAAGGTGTAGGTGTTCGCCGCACTGTGCCGAGTTCTGGTATCCCGAGGCTTGCGCAAAACCCCTAACCCTACATCCTGGGCCCTACACCCCAAAACCCTAAGCCCTACATCCGAAGCCCTAAACCCTACACCCTAAACCCTACACCCTAGGCCCTAAACCCCTTTGCCGGCAGGTTCTGCGCGACCTTGAGTGCTTGCAAGAGAACGGCCTTATCTCCTTCAAAGGCCGGTGCCAAGAAGCTCTCTCAAAAACATGGCAGTGTTCAACTTGCGAAATAGAAGACATACTCTAACATAGGGAGTAATAGTACAGACGACGCAATATATTATAACACACACACATATGTATATATACATATATATATATATATGTATGTATGTATGTATATATATATATATATACGTATGTATATATCATATGGACCTTAGTGCTGGTGCATGCCGTAAGCCTGCCATCGCGACTGGCCTTGAACAGCGGTCTTGACTCACGCTTGGTGCAGGACAGGCTGCAGCCGAAGTGCTCTCAGGCGATGAGATCACCGTTGCAGAGGCTTGCGACGAGGGTTTCGAAAGGTCGGACTATTTTTCCGTACTGAATCACTCCAAGCACGACCTTACCATTCCCTTGGAGGATCTTTAAAACGGTCCCGAAACCGAAGGGTACGACCTGAGGGGTCCAAGGTAAAATCCCTTGATGCAGGTGGTGTTCCACAACATCCTGGAAGGCTGCACGCCACAAGAAGTGGCAGCAGCCGTTTCGGCCTTTGTCTTCCCAGACAAAGTGGAAGTGCCCGAGGACCGAAGAAGCCTGCCCCAAACCCTACTTGGAGGTTCATGGTGCTTACTAACCAATTGTAAGTGTACTTATTTGGTGTACTTATAGCCATATTAGGGCTTATAAGTGGGTTATAAGTACAATCCATGTCAGCTACTCGGAGCTTCTGTGAAGGCTTGCACTGAGATGGAGTCACCAAACCCCATAAAGGTTAAAATCCGCGAGCCCTAGGCCTGCACGCTACGAGTCCTATAGAACCCTAAACCCTACAAGCCCGGTAAGCCCGATGAACCCTCTGAGCCCCCGAGGGGTCCCTCCCCGAAAAACCCTCCCAGCCGCTTGCTTGGAGCTGCGCTGATGCCTGGAGCCTGCCTTGCCAGCTCTGTTTCCTCTCCGTTGCTGGTGCAGCTGCGTGTGGTCATGATTTCCTGCCGCCCCAATCGTACGCTTTTCCTCAAAAAAACTTAATCTGGACACGCAGCTTTGGTTCAACAAAGCATGCTTGCATCCAACCCTGCCCTCTTGCTGCCCTAGCTCCTCTAGCCTGGACCTGCTAGCTTTCGTTCCCCTGGCCCCGCCCAAATCCTAAGCCCTAAACTCTATATATACATATATTGTAAATATGACATACACGAGAGAATTTCCTATACTAGCTTACAATGTTACTCGTACCATTCTTGCTAGCCCTATCGTTTCCGGCAACAGCATGATTTTTACTCTTCGTTGCCGTTTTTCGACGGCGACCCTGAGTTGGGATGTTCCCCCCCTATACTCGCAGTCCTTAATCGGGACTATCATAGGGGGTACTGTAATGCCCATTAAGGACTGTGAGTATAAGGGGGAACATCCCAAACCCTGAGGATGGACAGATGGAGGAGTTGCCGGAGAGCTTGGCCACCATTCGCCAGGCCGGCTTTTTTGTTTAATGAGGTTTTTGTTTGTTAAAGGCCCCTAAGGCCTAAGGCCCCAAAGTATGTAAGTTACTGATTTTGTTTGTTGAAGGCCCCGAAGGCCCCAAAGTATGTAAATAATTCAGAGTCCCTTAATGTTCATGTGTTTGTTTTTTACACGTACTTCTGGGGGTCAAGGCAAGCTAACCCTAAAGACTGTCTCTTTTGGCCGTGGGTCCCAGCCATACTTCGGCCCCTAACACGTTTCGGCTTCTCCCCAACAATTAAAGGACTCGATGTTTAAACCCAGAACCCTAACCCCCTAGCCCAGATCGGGTTACTGTAGGCTTCCCTTCCGCCAGCCCCACACGAGGCTCTTCTCGACCAGCACAGCAAGGCCTGTCAGAATTGTTTGAGGTTGGGATGTTCCCCCTTCTACTAACAGTCCTTAATAGGGAACATAGTACCCCTATTCTAATCTTTGGCAAGGACTGTTATACAAGAACATCCCAAGTTGGAGGTTTTGGGTTTTGGGACTTCAGGGTTTAGGGTTTAGGGTTTGGGGTTTAGGGTTTAGGGTTTAGGGTTTCATGTTTAGGGTTTTGGGTGTAGGGTTGAGGGGGTTTTTACCCTCCCCTGGCAGGTAGAGAAGCTCCTTGTGAAGCGCCGGGCCCAATACGACTCCGAGGCTCGGGCTTCGGGTGGCCCTTGCGCAGTGTGCCATGAACCCTAAACCCTAAACCCTAAAACCCTATACCCTAAACCCTCAACCCTAAACCCTAAACCCTAAACCCTAAACCCTGAACCCTGAACCCTAAACCCTAAACCCGCAAAAGCAGCAAAAGGGGGAGTTGCTGTCAGTGTGCATGGTCCAGCGCTCTCTGGGAGTGTACCACTCAATGATGTTTAGAGGGATGCCGAGGCCTTCTCACCCCTATCTACTATAGGGGCCTGAAGGAATAGGATTTCTGAGGGGTTATTATAGTATTTTAAGGGGCTGCGCCCATGGGCGGGCAGCGCACGCAGAAGCCCGGGGCGAGCAGTTTCTAAGCATGTTGAGGCCCCTAAACTCCCTTAAAATCTCTAAGCGTTAAGTGTCTAAGCATTTTCAGGCCCCTAAACCCCCTTCAAATCTCTAAGCGTTTGAGGCTCCGAGACTCCCTTAACGTTTCTAAGCACTTTATAAGGCCCCTAAACTCCCTTTTTCCTAGCCCCGGGCTTAGACACGTCGCTTATGCCCGCCCTTTGGGGGGCATCATGCTCCTGATGCCCCCCCGCGGTCCCGCCCCGGGAGCCGCTGATGCTCCTGATGCGCGCCTGGGGGTCCCGGGCTGGACCCGCTGATGCTCATGATGCGCGCCCTCTGGGGGCCTCCGTGGCGACGCAAAAAACCACGAAAAAAAAAACCGTTCACCGGCGGCACGCGGGGGTCGGCGGCACTGGCGTCCGGCCTAATTCTGCTTCGCAGAAGGCCAGAGGCCAGCAAGGCTATTCCCGGGACGACCCGGGCTAAAAGGTCCGCATTTGCTCGGTCCTTTGGGGACCTCGCGCTGCCCGATTTAATGGCTACCGCCAGTGCCGCCGACCCCAGACCCAAGACAGTCGCATTGGGGCGGAAGGCAGGGTGGAGCGCGGGCAGGCGGGGGGGGCGGGGGCGGGGGGGGTGGGGGTGGGTGGGGGTGGAAAGGGGTGGGGGGTGTGGGGGGTGACGGTAGAGGGTTGGTGTCGGATTAGGGAGTTGGGGGCGGAAGGCAGGGGTGGACTGGGGGGCATAGAGATGAAGAAGCGATGAGAGCGGTGAGAGCGGGGGGGCGGTCGGATGGTGCACGATGGTGGGAGGGGGTAATGATGAGGGCTGGGGAGGGTTGGTGGGAGGGTTAGGGAGTGGGAGTGGGAGAGGGTGGGGGCGGCGGAAAGGGGGGCCTGACTCGTTTGGCCGGCTGGTGGGGGGTTGGGGCGGAGCGCGGCGGGTGGACAGGGCAGGTGACGGTCCAGGTTGGTGGAGTTGGGGGCGGAAGGCAGGGGAGTGATGAGAGTGGGGAGGCGGTTAGGGCGGGCGTGGATTGGAATCCTCAAAACTAGAGATTTGGGGGTGGGGTGGGGGGGGGGGGGGGGGGGTGGGGGGGGGGTGGGGGGGGGGGTGTCCTTAAAACACTAGAGGTAGGGGGTAGGGGCGAGGCCTGTGGGAGGGGGGTGGGGGGGGGTGGGGGGGGGGTGGGGGGGGTGGGTGGGGGGGGTGGGGGGGGTGGGGGGGGGGGGCGGGGGGGGGGGGGGGGGGCGTGGGGGGGGGGGGGGTGGGGGTGGTCGGCAATGCACTGGGCCCTTTAAACCACCTGAATGGATGGGGTGGGGGGGGTCAAAGGTCCAATTCAAGGCATGGGTGAGGGCGATGGGTGGCGGGGTTTGGGCATGCACTGAAGCCAAACAATGCAAAAACACTCCAATTCAAGGTGTCATGAGCAGCATGCTGTGAGAGCGGGTGAGGGCGGTGAGGGCGGTGGGGGGTCTTCACTGACGCCGCCCTGCTACCGCTGATAATTACAAAGGGACCAGCAGGGAATATTGTTGTTATTCCGACCCCTGCAGTGCCTACATTACTGCACTTGGCACGCAGGAGTTTGCTCGCAGCTGCAACGTTGCCCTCATGGGTCCGAAGCTGAGTGCAAGCGTTCTGTGATTCTGATACTCTCTCAAGCTCAGGATGCTCGTAACAGCCTTTAACAGGGACTATCAGATGTGGGGGGGGGGTCGGGGTGCACTGTAGGAATCACAAAACGAGGGGGCCATGGTTTAGAGAATTGAGCAAGAAGAGTGGCCCCGGCTCCCAGGCACTGCCTACCGGTGGGCCTGTGGGGAAACCTTGGCCACCATCATGCAGGAGTCCCCTTTCCAGGACAGCGGGCAAGAGCTGTGAGGAACCCTAAGCCCTCAGCCGGGAAACCCTAAACCCTAAGCCTGGAAACCCTAAATCCTCAAAGCCGTAAAACTCCTGACCCACACAGTTTTCAAACAATCTACAACCCCAACCCCGAACCCCAAAGAAAGCCCATACGTGATCCCTAAAACGCCCTAAGCCGGAACAAGCCACAAGCCATGGCAGCCCTAGAACGTTTAGTTAGGCCGTCATCCTAAACCCTAATCCTAAACCCTAGTCTATAAACCCTAAACCCTTTAGCCTTTGGGTCCTAAACCCTAAACCCTAAACCCTAAACCCTAAACCCTAAACCCTAAACCCTAAACCCTAAACCCTACAGTCAGGAAGGTGCCATCGTGCGCGCCATCGTTCGGGCCGAAGAGCTGCTGCGCAAGCTCCAGGACTTGGAGCAGGGCTTGTTGATGTCCTGGAGGGTTTAGGGGTTAGGGTTTCGGGTTTCGGGTTTAGGGTTTGGGGTTTAGGGTTTAGGGGTGTTTCATGGGTTTCCCTACTACCCCCCTCTATACTACGCCCCCTAGGTTCCTTTCTTGAATAACCTTAAATACACTTAATTATCCCTGAATAGCCTTCATTATGGGGGGAACCTGGGGGGGGGTAGTTTCGAGGGGGGTAGTAGGGCAACCCATGAGTGTTGGGCAGGGCTGGGGGTTCAAGCGCCTCAAGCCCAACTTGAGATGGAGAGCGGGGCGTCTTCCTATCCCCCTTTCACAAGGAAGATGGCCCCTCAACCCAAAAAAGCCGATGGCCAAGAAGTACCTCAGCAGGAGGCGTTCCCGAAGACGCTTGCGACATGTTGGGATTAGATGTGCACAAGGGAGGAGGAGCTACTGAAGCCAAGCCACACGAGCGGCAGTTTTTGCACCGCTCATCAAAACAACCTAAAACATAAATCAGATTTGCTGAGGAGCCAGCGGGGGGGGGGGGGGGGGGGAATGCGATGGTGAGCGGACTGGTTGCGATGTACCGTATTTTGGATATTGCGATGGCTAGAGTATTCTGCTGCTTGTAGGAGTGCGCAAAGTGTTGAGGACGTTGTATGTGCATCGGGTGACGGGTGAGAGACTAAAGCCAAGTCAAGACGTGCCCGATCAGAGCACCCTTGGCCTCAGCTGATTTGGAGACTACCAGAAAATGCACGCTTCGAGGCATTTAGAGGCAGTGTCGAACTTGGGGTTTCAACTCAAATAGAAGGAAGAGCAGGTTTCTGGCATGAAGTACTTAAAAGAGGGTTCACTTCCGTAGTAAGGCTTGCATTCAGTTCTTATTTTCGAAACAGCAGAGAGGTCTTTGAGAACACTGATTTGCCAGCATACTTTCGAGTGTGCAAAAAAAGACATGCAACAAAAAGCACTGTTGACACATTTGTCATCCGATCCTGTCAGAACCCTAAACCCTAAACCCTATATAAGCCCTTAACCCTAAACCCTAAACCCTAAACCCTAAACACTAGACCCTAAACCCTAAACCCTAAACCCTCTCGGTGATTTTCGGTTGGTGCTTCTTCGCGCCGCCCAGTTGCCTGTGCAGGAGGTGGCGAAGATGCTGGGCAGCAGTAGCCTCCAGAACGCCGCTTGGCTTCCTACAGCTGTAGGATGTGTAACCCTAAACCGTTTATTAAACCCTAAACCCTCAAGCCCTGAGCCCTAAACCCTAAACCCTAAACCCTAAACCTAAGCCCTAAACCCTAAACCCCTGAGCCCTACATCACGAGCCTCAGCGGAACAGCGGAGGTGTTTTCGGAGGCCGCCGACCTGATTCACCGGGACATTGCTTTTGTCCCTTCCCTGTACATTAAGCAGGCGTGAGGGTTTAGGGTTTAGGGTTTATAGGGTTTAGGGTTTGGGGTTTAGGGTTTAGGGTTTAGGGTTTAGGGCGTGAGGCATGCCTCGCCTGAGAGGGAGCCGAAGGAGAAAAGAGGGATTGGATTTGGGGGTTCAAAGGCTGAAGGGTTTAAGGTTGGGGGATTTATCGGTTCGGGGCTTTGCGGGTTTCGATGGAAGGCGTCCTGAAGTCACAGGGCTCGTACCTATCAGATGGCTCTGTGGGCGCTCCTAGGGTTCACAGAAATGGGGGGCCCTCCCGTTGCTCCCCTTGGTAATTTGATAGGGTTCCTTCATAAAAGGGGACCCGCACAAGAAGCCCTGATTTACAAGAAAACCCTAAACCCTACAAGGAAACCCTAAACCCTAAACCCTAAACCCTAAACCCTAAACCCTAAACCCTAAACCCTAAACCCTAAACCCTAAACCCTAAACCCTAAACCCTAAACCCTACAAGAAAACCCTAAACCCTAATCCGCAAACCCTAGACCCTGGAGTCGGCTGGCGCCTGGTTCTCCAGCAAGATGTAGGAGAGCTGACAAACCGTTCAGGGGTTCAGGGTTCTAGGGTTTAGGGTTTAGGGTTTAGGCTTTTACAGGGTTTTTACAGGGTTTGTGTAGGGTGTTACAGGGGAGACAGGGTGTTATTCGGGTTTAGAGGGTTTTATAGGCCTTAGAGGGTGTTTTTTTGTTTTTTAACGTCTTATAGGGTTCTTATAGAGTTTCTAGGGCTTATATGGTTTAGGGTTGAAAGGGTTTGAGGTTCAGGCCTGAGGGGTTTGTGGTTTAGGAGTAGGTGGCCATCTCGGTTCATGGGGTGTGGGGTTACCAGTGGGGTTTGTTGAAGTTTGTAAGGGGTTTTGGTTCATAAGAGCGCCTGAGCCTTAAAGAAAGCATGCACTTAAACACTGAGTCGACCGTGTGCAATAAAGCGGTACGACGAGAGAGGGCGACGGGTAACAGCAGCATGAGAACTATCAATATTTTGACTTGCCTTCAAGGGTTTAGGTTTTAGGCCTTAGGGATTGGGGGGGCGCGACTGTTTAAGAGACTCACTGAGTCATCTTGATCTAAGGGTTGTAGATCTTTGCTGCCGTGAATGCGCGCTGGCTCGTGCAAGCTTCATGTTTGCAGGCTTCCGAGCATGGCGCTCGCAGCCCCTTCATGACCCTTCTACCACCTGAAGCCCTGCAAGCACACCACTCTGTTCTGTACACTGTATGCCATGCATCAGTTATGCATATGACTTGCGCACGTCAATCCAGAGCTGTGCTCATGGTGGCGCCGCTGTCGCATTCTGCAAGGCCCCATGCGAAGCTGTACCAGCCCACACCAAAAGAGTCAAGATCCGAACTATGGGCCCCCCCTTTATGGTAGAGGAAGAGGCGCGATAGCAGAGACCCGCAAAAGATCCCTCAATTGGATGCGCATGGTGATGTCAACAATACTTGATAGGTGTGCTACCTGCACCTTGCTCAAGGTTCTGCAGAAGTTTGTCGTGGTTCCTAGTCACTAGTCCTAGTCTTGCTTTTGTCTTTTTGAAAGTTTGGCATCTATCAGATCCCAAAACCCCATGCACGTGCGACCCGGATGCCGGACCTCGACGATGCGCATTATCTCCTGGAGAAGCCATCGGCGTCTGCCGGGAGCCAGTTCTGGCGCTTGGCTATTGTGACAGGGCTCGCAGGCGCCTGTCTCATGATACTGGCAGCCCTGTCATCGGGCTCTCACGTCTCGGGCGAGGCATCACCCCGTGTTTTTGGCCTGGTGCCGCCCGAAGGCTTAGATCTCAGAACAGGGATGAGCCGACTGGCAAAACTCGAGGGTCTGTCCGAGCTACCTCCGCGGATAACAAGCCAGATTGCTGCGCTCCCTGCGACACCCCCTGCCGCGACGCGGGGGTTGAGGGACGTGGCCAGGGCAATCAACTTCCACAGGCCGACCGCCATGGAGACGGAGTCATACAAGATGTCGCAGTGCGTAGGTGCCGTGTACGACATGGCCAACTACGTGGGGTGGGCTGGTTTGAACATCGACGCTCTGACCATAGGGGGCACCTGCCCCGATAAATCCGATGACAAGAGCTGCTCAGCAAATGTTGTGGGCTTGATCTTCAACCTCTTGTGGGTGGTTGCGAATGCTGCGCAGGTCCCCGTGTGGTGTTTGGCCGAGAACATGACCGACTCCTATCATTCTCACGCTGTGTCCTGCGTGGTCGCCTTCAGCGTTTTTTTCGCCACGACGCTGCAGCTGACATCCGATGCGCTGTCGGCAAGGAGCGACTGTGACTTTGTCATGGTTGGGTAACATTTTGCATTTTAATTTTTAAGGGCACTTAAACCCAATAAGGAATAGGAATTTGAAATTTCAATATTCTCCCAACCATGAGCTAGGTGACTTCAGCATCGAAGACGAGGATTGGGAGCGCTTTCCCGGCCTCAACAGATTCAAAGCCCGAGTCCGGCGGCGCCTTGACGATCTTAAGCAGTCTGCCCTTCAGCGGCCTCATCCGGTTTTGTCTCAGCACAACACATCGCGAATTGCACGGCTGCCTCCCAATAAGTGGGTCAGCTATCAAGACCGGCTTCTGCAAGATATTGCGGACTTGGGCCCGGACGCCACGCGCGATCTGGAGAAGGGCGTGTGTGCGCTGATCATCGCCCAGACGATCAACGACGTACCCTACACCGGCACCGACATCTGGGCCCTCGTGAATGCTTGCGGAGAGTTGGGCTGGAAGGAGGGTGACGACTACAAGGCAGCCCAAGAGGACTGCGCAGCGGGATCTATAGCAGTCATTGCAGATTTGGTTAACCTCGTGACGGACATCGCGGTGATCATTGCAGCCTGCCCTGCGCAAAGGCCGCGCAAGACGGCCTGCGTTGCGCTTTCGAGCGACATGGCCACCAATGTGCTTTCGATAGGAGCTTGGCTACTGACGGTGGACCATAGCTGCAACCTGAATCACAGTGAGATGCCGGACTTAATCGACCTTACAGTGGCGAGTTAGCTTGGTTTCTAGACTCGCTAGACTGCGTCAGTGATCAGCCAGTACAGTACTGTAGCTCTACTGCAGGTCACCGTAGGTATGGCATGCGTCATGCGTGCCAGCACATTGGAATTTTGCGGGCAACGCTGGAAATCGGCAAGCCAAAGGACTGTCGTTTTGCTTCTTTTGGCAGTTCCTAAACTTCGCTTGGCTGTTCTCTTGGTAGCCCAGTGGTGCCCTTTTTCCCTGAAAAGCAACCAACCCCAAACAGGGTGCCCTTATTATGATCTGGTTACTGGGATACCAAGCTCTAGGTGGCCCCAGGTGGCTTGATGAGGACCCTGTACAGAGAGAATCGCTCAGAATCAAGCACGTGCGGCCGGTTGCCCCGGTCGGGTTCGCATGCTTGTGCCAGGGTACGAAGCCTCAAGCAAGGCAACCCTAAACCCTAAACCCTAAACCCCGTCGGGTTCAGGTCTCCAGTGTTTTTTTGGATTTCGCAAAAGGCATGAGCCGCGGCATGGTCTTTCAGTGAACTTCAACTGTGGACTCTAGAAACTTGCGAAGCAAGATAATTCGTGCCTTCAGCATGCTGGTCCAGGTACTTCTCGAAACGCTCTTGGGATGTTGGGGGCTTTCTAAGAGCAGCCAGCTCCTCTTGATCAATTTTTGTGAATTGGCGTTGTTACTTGTCGTACATCCATACTCCGATTCGCTACGACTCGCTAGGCCCTTGGGACATTTCTCATATTTTCCCCTTCTTGGTTTTAAGAGGACCACAGTCCGGAATATTTTTTCAGAGGCTTTTAATGGGCCATCCTAGAGACGAGTTCTATAGGTTCTATTTATAGAAGACCAGGTCCGGCTGATAATGACCAGCGATGCCATGGAGGCGTCGCTGGAACGCCACGATCTAATCCAGATCGCAGTGGCTCCGACGCTCCGCTTCAGGAAGTCGAGACTGCTGCAGAAGACTCAGGGCTCAGGGTTTTCTTAGGGTTTGTAGGGTTTGTAGGGTTTAGGGTTTAGGGTTTGGGGTTTACGGTTTAGGGTTCAGGGTTCAGGGCTTAGCATTCGGGGCTTAGGGCTTGGGGTTGAAGGATCCAGGCCTAAACCTAGCCCACACCAAATCCCAAACCGAACTCGCAGTATTCGGGCTTAAGTAGAGGGCAGATGCACTGCTTCCCAACAAGTAGTGCACGCCCAAATGGGCATTTGCCCACAGAGTGGGACCCCTTATGTACCCCAAAATTCTAGAATTTGCCTTGCAGTACCGCTAGTCTGAGAACCCCCAAAACTCTACGATCCCCTACGGTGACTGCTTTTAAGCATGTGGAGGGCAGGCCCAGGCCAAACGAGCCACCGAGGTAGCATAACACATCTATGTACATTTCCCAGCATTTAAATGTACGCAAAATTCCCCTTCGCACACGTTTTTGGGTCTTCAGGGTCTTTCAGAACCTTTGCAGGCCCAGGGGGGGGGTGGCTTCCGGGGCCTTTCAGGGCCTTCCGGACCTGGGCTTCAGGGCCTTTCAAGGGCTTCGCAGGCTCGCCCCAAAAACCCTAATCGCCCAAAACCATATTTCCTCATAGTCGCCGGCGTGTCTTCAGGAAGTCATCCCGGCGTAAGTTTAGCTCCGCTCCCCTCTGTTTGGGGTTGAGGGTTCAGAAGTTGAGTCCTTACTCCTGAACCTCTAAACCCCAAAGCCGAAAGCGCCCTAAGCCCAAGCCCTAAGCCCTAAACCCTCAACCCACAACCCTACCTCGCAGGCCGGAGAGCCGTCTGAGGGATGAGCAGCGTAGCGCCCGGGGGGTTTTAGGGCTCAGGGTTTACCGGGCTCAGGTGGTTTAGGGTTTGTGGAGAATTGCGGCTGGTTTATAGGGGCTCACAGTCGTGTTTCTGGGGCCGTAAAGCTCAGAGGGCTTAGAGACTGGTCCATATGCGCTGAGAGCTGCGCCGCAAAAAATGCCTGCTTGAGCATCGCGAGTTCGCCCTTGCATCCGCACGCGGTCGAGGGCCCTCGGGGCCCTCTTTGGCATGAGCAGGCTAGGAAAGCATGTGAGGGTTTATATAGGGGCTCAGGCACCATGCGCTATGACTTTGGCTGTTTTTGCTTAATGCGAAGGGTTTGGGGTTTTAGGTGGGGGGGGAGTAGACCAACAAGGCCGCGCAGCCCCCCCGAACATCAGACCGCGGCCGCTCTACATGCAGCCACACGATACAAGGAATGTCTACATACATACATACATACATGCGTACATACATACATATATATATATATATGTATACACATCTATAGTCTTGATAGGCCGATAGAGAGATAAACATGTCAATATCAGGGCCCCATGAGCTCCTCATCAAGGACCTCCATGGGTTTCGTTTGATGTTGCAGCCCCAAGGCAGAACCCTAAACCCTAAACCCTAAACCCTAAACCCTAAGCCCTAAACCCTAAACCCTAAACCCTAAACCCTAAACCCTAAACCCTAAATCTAGACGTGCCGCTGCCCAGCGTAACAAAGCCCCAGCTCCACAGTGGACTCAGTCCTGACTCCTCAAAGTGCTACAAGGCGCTGCGCCTCTGCATCCCTGTGCGCCCGACCCTACGAGAAGTTTGCACGTC